TCAATAAGAGAAGCAGTTAGGAATATTCTTGGGGTAAAAGACATCTTGAACTTGGCGAACAGAGCAATGTTTCAACAATTTTACACTTTATCGAATTTCTTTTTATACCTCGATAACGAAATTCCAGTAACTTTCTGTATCTCGAAATTTTGATTTTCCAGTGAAAATCTTGAGAGAATAAAGCTCGCAGATGAAAATACGAATTTAACCATATCGCGTGAAAATGATTGGTCGTTGACATTATGCAAGAGGTTCTTTTACCAGAGTCAAGTTGTTCCCTCGGATCTTGAGGATTTTGTCGGACCTCGAAAGATCGCCAACAAGTTTTCAAACGCTTTCGGTTAAACGACACGCTCCCAGCTACGACTGGCCTTGGCCCATATTTCACAGTTTCAATTTTTTCTCCGATTTCACTAACGATAAATGTCGCGAAGACAAGAATACAGTAAACACTCCTCAAATTTATAAAGTTCTGTGCTCGATAAAGAGGCTAAACGATTTTTGCGAGAGTGAATCGAACGAAACTGCAGTTTTCTCCCCTTTTTCTTCTAATTTAACAAATTCACTGTAAATCAATTATCGCTGTAACGAGTCCTAAACTATCTGTACGGACCATTAACCTGACACCCCATTTTTTCAATTAATTTTCAAATAAACCGACTGGAGATAATTGAGAATATTTTTAATAGGAAAGATCTTCACACTTTTCTTCGGATTTTTCAATTTGATGCATAATGAAATTACTTACCTTTATCACAAAATGTACTATCGAAACGGCCAAATGCAATTTTTCAAGTAAAGAAAAAAATCAGCCAAACAATCCAGTTGCTTCATGACTAATTGTAAGAAAAAGAAATGCTTGATCGATATCGCAAAATAGTGTTTTGGTGTAACGAACGATCCTGCAATTTCCCCGTTCCATCTAGATCCAAGCTAATTTCGTTTGCGTGTACAGAAAGCATGGCTACGAAACGAAGGAATTTCTATAGCACCGCGTGTGTGTCTGTATATACATGTAAGGACGAAATTTCATTAACGAATAATCATTTTTCCTGATGCGAAATTTAGAAGAGCCCTCGACGAGGAATATTAACCGTGCAAAGCTGGCCGGCAAGAAAGTGTTCTCTGCGAATTTGGCCTATGCAAATACGGGTGAACGGTCCTGGTAGGACGAGTCTGCGAGCCCTAGCCCGTCTAGTGAAAAAGTTTGGACGCTCCACGACGAATACTAATTAAAGACTTGCGGAATAAAATTAGTTAGTCGAGGGGTCGGGAGGTGACTGTCAGCCTGGACGATGGAGTCCCTAGGTCGACGACGAAGAGCCGCTTATGATAATATAATAATACTTACTTGGCTCTCGGAATGCTACCTCCAAGCTCATTATGCGTTTAGTTCATAACTTCAATTGGATTCTTACTATCTCGCTCCGGACTTGGAACGTTATACTTTCATCAGGCTCTTCCCTTTAACAGCGCTAATTATGGAGCTGATCACGATTACGCCAACAATCGTGTAAATCACTCATTGTCCTACATTCTCCAGGCTGCGGCGAAAGCAATTCGTAAGATTCCCTTCAGCCCCGGCTATATCGCAGATATGAAAATACCCTTCTGCGCAACCTGGGTCCACTATTGTTACCGGAGAAATTGTCCTGCTAGCGAGTCTGAGTGGCGTTAAATTAGATCTTCCTTTGTCGGAACGGCCGGATCAATTTTTCAAGATTACAATATCGATCTTAATTCGACGGTAGGATGTTTACTGTGATTTTAATAACTATCGTGGGGAAAGATTGACGGTACTGTGGGAACAACGGAATATCGTTCGGTGCCACTTTTGGAAAATTGGCATGAAGCACGTGAAACGATGCATGAAAAACACAAAGTAGAACTTTTTATCGAATTATTAAACAGTAAGTTAAAATAATTAATACAATGAATATTTAATAATCACTACAGAAAATGGCGCAAAAGCACAATTATTTTATCGATCAAACCTGACGGTACCAACTTCCATTTAAAATACGTCATATTCTTCGCGCAAAGTGTGATATCCTATCGAACAACGTATGTAAGGCTAGCTCCGACCTGAGAGCTTATTAAGAACACGTGTTTAGGCCGCGAAAAAACAACGTGTGTGCGCGCCCAAGGCATATAATCGAATCTTGTTGCTGATAAACACAAAGGTAAACGATGTACACCGACCTATTCGAGTATAGGAAAACAAAAAGGCGCGGTAAAGCGGCATGAATGAGTGGATCGTAGTAATTGTAGATGGAGCGCCGTTTTATTATAAACCGTTCTGTTCTTTTTTTTTTCTTCCATCTCTTTATGTTCCTCTCTCTTCTTTTTTTTTTATATTTTCACTCGTTCGCGTAGGCCACGTTACGTGCCGTGTCACCGTGAAGCCTTATTTTTATACAGGCTCTCCTTCGTTTCGTCATCGATCCGCGGTATGCGTTCGCGTTCATCCGTTTTATGCGTTGAATAATTTCAATCCTTGCCGAGCCGGGGTTAAAAGCAACAGTACAGCGACGACAATGTAAATTGGCGGACTGGCGTTTCCGGTGTAATCGTGAAACTTGAATAGCGACGAGAAGATTTGCGAAGTTTTTTGAAAAGGTCCGAAGAGAGGTTGAAATACTATGTTTCGAACGTTGCTGGATAAGACTCGGCTTATCGCTTAGATCCAGTGAGCTCGAGGTGATCTAAGACTTGGTCGTTCGTCGGTTGCTGGTCGAAATAAGACTGACTGGAATTTGCGAAGAGGAGAAGAATTTGCTGGAGTTAATTTCAGGGGTGAATAGTTGGAAAGTATAGAAAGTCGGTTATTGGTCGTAGAGCGTTTTTTAAATAGATCTAGAGAGGATAAGAGTGGTGAATGGAAGAACGAAGTTTCTGGTTTTTGGGGAATTCCTGTGGAAAAGGGTTATTGTATTGTGAGCCAATTGTTTGGTAATTAAAAAGTCGGTACAGTGGATGGTAAAATTGCGTCTAAACTAACAGTTATGGTTGCTTCACTTAGGGACGTGTGTCTGATCCTACTAGTCCTTCGAGTTGAAGCTCCTTTAGGCCTACTTTCAGGGCCACATTTATACTTTTGGAGGCCTCAGGCGCATCTTTTTATGTTATGAATTTAATATTCAAAAATAAGTAGATATTTTGCAACTATAACTAAGCCGTTCCTTTACATTGTCCTTTGTGAGAAGCAAGGCTTAATAATTGCGCCTAATGGGCCTTATGGTAAATGGGCCTCTGCCAGTTTTACAATCTTTTTGAAAATGAAGTGTTTCACAGAGAACGCAAGCAATTCTTGGAAAAATTAAAAAACCACTGCCGCTACATTTGTGCTTACGATATAACAATTTTCTTTCTTCTCTTGTGTCCCTTTACGGAAGGAAAAATGTGTCGGAAGTCCATGTGACGATTAACAAACACTCGATCGTCGCCGTCTTTACAGCAGCTGCTTTGCAAAGTAAAGCATTCGTAATGAAACCGTTTCAAGCTCTCTCCTGAATCACACGATGAAAACTTTCTTTGCCGGACCAGCCGACTGGACCTAATCGAATTCCGACTGCGTCGGCGAAAATTTCGCGTTCGTGTAGAGCCACCGCGGCATTTAACTTTACCTCATCGCTTTCGTATTCGCGTCTGATCATCCTACAGGCGTACATATATAATACGACGATTTTTCGAAGACCTCGTTATAAAAGATGGAGATCTTTTCTATTCTCTGATTGCTTCTTTTTTTCTCTCTCTCTTTTGTACGCGTGTCTGTGAAATTATTAACGAGTCGGGGAACTGAGGTGTCGTGAAATATTCGACGATTCTCGTTAAAATTTGAAAAGTTTCTAAAAATTGTGTTACAACGAAGTTAGACAATGATTGTCTGTTTGTATGTTACTTTTATCGCTTCGATATTATTCCCTTCGCTGGCGAGGGAAAATTGTGCTGTTTTTAAAAAATTCTGTTTGTTACTGGTATGAATTACGTGAAGAATGTACGATATTAATTGCTACCACATATGTATGTGTCAATTTTTTGTACCTTATGGAATAACTGTTTATTAAAAATTTCTGAAATTGCTGCTGTTATGCTGAGTCGAAAGCTGACCTGAGTACCTTTAAATAACTCTCGATAACTTTACCTTAACTACCTCGTCATTCAAAACGTGACATTCGATAACTAATAGATTTATACCTTTTCGTTGAATGTATTGCACTTTATATAAATTTTATTTATTGAAGCTGCGATAAGATTTAATTTTTTAAAATACACATTTAACAACATGCACGTTTATTTATAAAATAAGTACAAGAACCTCTTATCAGTTCTGTTACAATATCATTTTTTTTAAAATAGACATTCTAAAAAAAATTTCATATAAAATACCTCACATATTTCTATAAGCCTTCTACATCTTATTAAACCAATTCATCATTCGTCACATTCGTTAAAATTTTGCTAACAAGTGCAATATGATGCAATTCGAATAGTTCATAGAAACGATAATTAAATACAATTGATCAAAAATTAATTACATCTGCAATATGAAACTGTCGTAATCTGTATAAATTTTGAAATTTCTACGTTGAAATTCTCTCGTATTTAGATTTTATAACTCACTGTTAAATCTAAAAATGCAACTCCTTCGATTTCATTTAAATATCTGAAAAATTTCACTCCACTGTTTGCTTATTTTTCTTTTCTTTATGCAACGTCTCTAGAATTATTAAACGGATCCTTTGCAGGTACGCTATTTTTCTTTTTTTCATACTAAAAACAATATTGAAACACATTTCACTATTTCTGTTACACGTGTACACGTACATCTACATAATATTTTCTACATCAAAGTATATGTATGTAGAATCTAGTTCAAAAATGGATATCTATTCTTCGCTAGATTCTCGATTGTGTGATTCAGTTATTGCAATAGCAATCATGCACCACTGTTGTGTACAATATAGATCTGAAAGAGGCAAATGTATGCCAGTACTTACCTTCGGATTTTGGTGCAGGAGGTTTGCGAGTCGCCCAATTCGTTCGAATACTCCTGCTACCAAGCCATTGTCCATTCATAGCACCGATGGCACTTTCCGCTTCCTGAAACAGTACAAGCGAAATTGTACCTTAAAACTCGAAAATATTAGTAAACGGTGCTTGCAGTAAAGTTGCAAAGTAACGACAATAGTTCTCGCTATTCCAAGATTATTTCAAGTACGGATATTTACTCTTTGAGATGTTAATAAATAAAATAAAATTGTCAACAGAAGAGAATTTCAAGAAAGCAGTCGAAGCTTTATTGTGAAATATTTTTCGAAATTATTTGCTTGAAGCATAGTAAGTTCTATGGAACGTATTTTAAAACGTACAGTAGAATTCATTTTTTATTTGTACGTTATAAATAAATAGAAATTTTATTTCTTGCTTGAATTATCCGCGGATCAAATTACTTCACCAAGTGGAAATTACAGAGTTTAATTTAATTTAGAAGAATTTAATCTTCGGAACTTTTAAATACCCTGTGTGCTTGTTTTACAGGACGAATCAGGCTGGCAAAATTTATAAGTGGCTGCAGGATTAAAATTCACCGGGTGATTTCCAATAATCTTGTGTCAAAGCAATTTAAATTAAGTATGGCAAAGTTGGCGAACTTGTATTAGCATTCACTGTTTGAGTTTGGACAAATTCAAAATTTCGTTTTATCTCTTAAATTTATATACTTGTTACTATGTACGTTCAAAATACAGTTCATAAAAGTGCCGCACATTCACCAAATTTCAATTCTGAATTTATGGAAAATTATTTAAGACTCGAACCATTTTGTAAAAATATAAAAAAATAATCACCGTTCACACCTGCTTCAGCACTAAAAACTAAATACTACATAATTTCGAGAGCAATAAACATTACCAAACAACGTCTTCGATATCAAGACGTTCGATATAAAACTTCAGCGTGGACGTTATCTCGAACAATTACACAGATATTATGGAAGTGAGAGAGTAGCCAGTTTTGCAGCCTATTTTCTTCTATACGCGCGTAGTAAATACGCGTTATAGCAACGCAACGGTAACATTCCCCCGTGAATGTTATCGAATGGTTGCGCAGCGAGTAAAGGAGAAGTCACGAAGTAGGTGTGTTATCTTGCGTTAAAAAAGAGATCGAGAACTGGAATAAACAAAAAGGTGAAACGTTACGACCAACAGCTAGAGGCCGTAACTTGCAGTACACAAGATGGCGGCCGTAACTTTTATTTACTACTACTCCGGTTTAAGATACATAGCTCGAGTGGATTGAGAAAAGTGGTCTATTACCGTTCTCCGCATGGAACAAATGTAATAAATACGTATGTACGTACGTACATATTACTTAGGTTGAACGTACGTGTGCATATGTACGTTATACGGTACGCGTCGAATGGATAGAAATGGTTAACGCAACAATTGATCCAACTATAAATTCTAACTCGTATCGATAACACGGTGACATTATTACGCGTGCAGACGTTACGACTTTCTGGTTACAGAAATTTTGTAGCGTGCTGTACTTTCATTTGGAACACGGGAAACACAGATCTGAGATGTTATAAGTGTGCACCTGTATCCGGTGTCTATTTGAATTTGTAATGGGAAATAAGATGAATCGAATTTGAGGGAAATTCCTATCCCGAAGCGTATATACGCGTGTTCGTGTTTAGTTAAATTTTACAATTTGGTCATTTGAAAATTTCAAAATATTTGAATCGGCAAATTTCTCTTGCCAGCGATATTATGTTTAACACGATGTACAATTTTTCTTAAAAATATTCCAAACAATTAAACACGTACAGGAAAAAATATTTAGAGTAGTTAAAATATTACTTTATTTACATAATATTGTTATATTATTTAAAATATTAGGAATATGAATAGTGAAAATATTTATTTTGGCTAAGTTAACCCTTTCGCTACGGCAGATTTTAGTGCGTAACACACGTACCGCAAAATCTTTCATTTTGGCTGCATCGTTTCAAAATGTATTTCGTTAAGTTAAGGTAGAAACACTTATAAGATAAAATTAGGGATTAAATTAGGCTAAAAGGAGTAAATTTTCAAAGCGCCTATAGGAACCAACAATAACGAAAGGGTTAAGATATATTTTTACTAAATTAACCTATTTTTTTAAATATTTTCCGTAATACTTCCGAACACTCACTAGTTCAACACGATTTCAAGAATGAAAAATTTGCAGCAAACAGAGGTGAAAAGTTCGAACGAGCTAGATTCGAAACGAGATTTGTATTCGTTTCATGGTGAACATCGTCTGATGCGGGTTAACTTAATACGCGCTTTAAAATTTCCTCCAATTCACCGCATCTTTCCTAGATTCTTCGGTATCCGTGAAACGTTTCCGGCGAGCCAGCCCGGACATTCCCGACTTCAGTCATTTGATTCCCCGGCAAACGTAAAATTCAGCCTTCGTAAGAAGAAACAGTCGCGACATCGTCGCGTGCCAATATAGAGTGCAGTTTCCTTTGGGGGGAAAAAAAAACTCGAACAAAACAGCCACTCGCATCCGTCTATCCATAAGTCCATTACGCGATTTATATGAAAAATAAGGGAGAATCGCGACAGGGCGAATAGAAGAAGATAGGAAGAAGGGACGAAGGAGGGAAGAGAGAAGGTAGGGAGAGTTAAAGCAGAACGGTATTCCATGGTAAGGCGGACGTGGAGGAGAAATGGATGTGGAATAACAGAGGACGACATCGGTTGTGGCGCACACAGAACCGCGCGGTTCCACGTAAATGCGGGAGCGTCCGTGACAACGTGCCGCTGGCAGTCGGATGGCTGATGCGAAGGACGGATAGGAAACCTAAAAATATACTCGTCGCGAGGAATCTCCCCGAAAAGGTTGACTGTTCGAAAAGCTCTTCAGGAGTACGTACGAAGGGGGTGGTGGTAGAGGGTGTTTCCCTTCCCTCCTGTTGGTATTCCGGCCCAACCCTCTTCTTACCGCTATTTGTGTCATTTCGAAGACTCGTCGGTTCGCCTTTTGCCTCGTTTCTCCAAACGTTACCTTCCTACGCTTTCCTCTTTTTCTCACCCTCCTCCGTCTACCTGCAAACTTAGCATCACACCATCGGCATCACCGTCATCTTCAACCAGCGGCACCCTCACCGCTGCTCTCTTCTCTGTCCCTTATCCTCCAACGACATCGTTGGCCCCCGCGGGATAAAGTATTTCCGATTCGAATTTCCATTTCCGATATGATACCGCGCGTTTGCGCGGTTAGCCTAGATAGACCGGCAGACCGAATGCTCGCCTCCTAAGCCGATTCTAAACTACGGTCGATAACTTGTGCCGTTCCCCCTGGCCCCCTGGACTCTCCTAAACCCGTGGCACCAGGCGAGGAAACGGTTGAGAATCCCACCTTCAACCAGCCAGCCAGCCAGCCGAGCCAGCCCCTTCTCTACTTTCCGTGACCAGACCGTTTATACGACACACCGGCCGTCCTACCGACCTCGTCTCTCAGACCTGCCTAGTTCGAGCTGTCTAAGCACCCATCAAATCGAATTTCTTGCACGGCCAAAGACGGTATAGGCTATTCGTGATTCCGAGCAGCGACACCCAGCTGCTTTACACGCATTACTAAGTCATAGCTCCGTGCGGCATGCGGCATAGGATTACGTGGCTCTAACGAAACGTGCGCTCACTTCTGAGAGGTCTCAGGTACGTTAAAGGGGGGTCATGATCGGACGACGCTTTTTTTCGCCGATGAGTTTTCCTATCGACCAAGTGACCGCTCAACACGTCAACTATACGTGTACTTACGTATGTAGGTGGGTAACAGGACCGACGAACCACCCCCGATCGGATATTTTATGGGAATATTATGTCGGTCCGAGGGAAATTTTGGAATCAACAGCCACGTGGAAATTAAGAATACGAAATGAATTTTTTGCCCCGTGGTCGTCGGTGTTCTACTTCCAGCCTTATATCCCAGCTGAGATTTTATCGATTGAATGTTATGAAAGCCCTTTTTTCGGATTTCTTGATTTATTGCCGCCGGATTTATCGATCCTCCGCGTTTCAAGTGGTCAGCTTTTACTAGCTTAGGTGGCATTAGAACGTGGTGTTATAAGTACGGACTTGTGATATTTTTCCACCTCTCTTGTTTTCCTTGCACGGTTTTATTTCTTTCGCGGAAAATTCTTGTTTATTACGATTTTTGTAAATAGTCCAAGTTTGAAAAACATGGGATTTAAATTGAAGTTACCGAGACAATACCTTCTTTACACAATTGACAAAATTAATTTTTCCATATTTTCAATACAGAAAATACGACGAATTTTTGAAACAATTTTCAAAAGATTCGAAACAATCGTAGAAAAGAAATTTCTTGGAAAGAAGAAAAGAAGGAAATACATAGATTCGACTGGTACAAATCAACCGTGATACTCGTTTCGTCACTTCGACATTCATTCTCCGTGCATTAGGCGAAAAATTCGTTCCAGGCGAAAAGCTTCCTCTCTCTCTCTCTCGTCAACGCTGCTCACCGAACTCAGACGCGCGTTACACGCTCCAATGCTCATTAAATGCACCGATCTCGAGTTGCGGAGTCGAGGTCGAAGGGAAAACGAGAATCCCGGGAATTCGCCTTTCCTCGTACATCTTAAGAGAGCCAGGATGTTGGACGCCCGCTGATCAGAACCCGCGATTTAGGTACGTGTATCCGGCGGTCGAAGGATATAGTGGCGGTAGGATACGAGCCAGAGTTGGGGCTAAAGGAGGTGGGCCAAGGGACAGGGGAGGGTGAGCAAGAGTAGAGAAATTTTCGCGTGTTCCTCGAGGTTAACGGAGACACTCGGAAAATTTATACTTCGGCAATAGTAATACCGTGGGTGTGAGGCAGGTGCCGGCGGTGGTCCAGATCGATAGAACATTAAAACAGAGGGGAAACGAGAGAGGGTCCGTACCTTTGGGGCAGCCGCTCCAACGAATAACCTCGCAATAAACGGAGGAAAGCCTCCTTCTCTTCAATGGTACATCTAACTTCGCGTGATTTACGTCGTGGATTTTGGCAGATCATGGTAAAAGTCGCTTTACACCCAGTCTACTTTCGAAAAATGACGTTGAGAAACGCCACGAGTTCGCCCCCTATTTTCTTATTTAAACAGGGGTATTCCGATTCGGACGGCTGATTTTTCAGCGGATTTCATGATTTCTTACTGGGCGACGGGGAAAGTTACAATATTTCCGCTTTGTGTATAACTTTACTCATCTTTTGGCTGTGTAAAATTAACAATAAAAGCTCGAAATGTTGTAAATATTCGGAGTTAGTGGAGTGCGAACATTTTTGCTAACTTATCACGTGAGTGTCGCTGGTGCTCCAACCACGATTTAGGTGTAAAAAAAAAAAGCAAAGTTATGAGAATATTGACTTGATTTTGGTTAAGACGATAGTAATAGATGTTCCAAGTATGCAGTATAAAGGGGAAAGCAATCGGTCGAATAGTTTCCGAGAAAACCTCGGGAGAGCCTTGGAAAATTTGGTGTCGAGAAAGCCGCGTTTAAAGATTTAGCTCATGACTCTTACAATTTATGCAATTTCGAAAAATCATTCGACAGACTATTCTCCAGACTGTAAGTAGCGCAAAAATGCAAAACAAAGAGATATCAATATTTTTATCCTGAGTACTCAGAAATCTCCTTAACCTTTGGATTGCGGATGTCGGGTCAAAAATGACCCATGAATTTTTAGATGTCTCTTGTTTCAACCGGCATTCGAAACAGAGACACATCTGTCCCCTTCTTATATAATCAATATGTCTGTTATTCTAATCATAACACATTTGCGTGCATGCAACAATCACGCCCTTCACTGTGCAAAATGTTAATCCACGAAATCTCTCGTACGAGGTATATTGTGAGACCTAGAACTATTTAGACTGCGTCACGACACGACATTTTTTTCGGCGACAGTCGCTGCGATAAACTTGAAATGTCCACGTTTCAAAAACGAGAAGTGTGTCACAAGCGGTGAAACGTTTGATCCCGATAGGAATTTT